AGGACCCCTCCCCCCAATAATCCTATTACCAGAGATAGCCAATCTATCTTCCAATGGTTTGGGGTATATTTTTCCAGATGCTTTTCTCTGCCTGTATTGTCTCTTGGGGTGCATCTGTGTGTGCATACCAGCACTGCCTGTATATATGCCTGCACGTTACATTCTTACACGCATTACAAATAGGTGCATGTATATATGTACATGTAACGCCCATGAAATCTGCATCTTTCTCTACAGATGTATCCGCTATAGTTGCCTGTAGAGACATATGGACCCTGCCCCCACCCCAAATTTGGACTGGATGTCACAACTGATGATGCACACACACACCAAGAGCATAGGGAAGGTTTCATTCTTAATTATAGTTGAGCAGAGAGCAGGACAGGACTCTCAAGCAGATCCAAAATGGCCTCAAAGAGCAAAGAATGACTGGGGTTTTTGCTGTGGTTGGTAAGGGTTCTTGCACTAGGGCAGGGGTTTGTGTGGTGTGAACCTCCTGTTACTGCCAACCGAAGGAGCTACCCAGGCTTTCTTATCCGCTTGTCCAGAAGCTGGGGCAAAGGAAGAAGGAAGGGGGAGATGAGCTTAAAGGCTGTCAGCAGTCATCGAATGGCCTGAGAGTCTGCATGATCGGAGCGTGCACCCCTGCCTGTACAGCTGTCCATTCACCTTTGCATGTATCTCCATATCGCAGTTGCCTTTACTTAGTACTTTCTACGTCAGTGGGTGCAGATCAACCTCATTCTTTTCAGTTCAGATTTCCATTGTATGGACGTGCCACACTAGCTAGCCTTCGTCCTGTTGATGAATGTGTTTTTCCTGCTTTTACAAGCAGGGGCACGTGAACACACACACGGAATACCTTTGTATACCGGACACCGTCAGTAGTTCAGCAGTCACCATTACTGTACAAGTCCCAGGACTAATGTCATGATCAATGCTCTGAAAACACAACAGGAAAGGAGCTAGTGAAGGGGGTGGTTCGCTACAGAGGGTGGCTAGGAAGGGCCTCTAAAATAGGGCAGAGCAGAGATGTGGGAGCAAGGATGGACTCTATGAAGGAAAAGCAGGATTTCGAAGTCTATTGAGGAATTTCTAGGTCAAAGGGTGAACATGCTTAACTCTGGTGGATCCTGTCATCCTCTCTAGTTTAAAAAAGATCTTACATTCCCCTTGCAGCGTTATTACTCACCCATTATTAAACGAGCATCCTCGTTTTTGTTTCATCAACAAAACAAGAAACACAAAGGGACAGTAACTTTTTAAAAACCTCCTTTGGTGTGGTAGGCAGTGAGCGATCTTTGTTTGTGCTCTGTTCACTGTTAGTGTGGTTGAGCATCTCATTATTCATTTGTATTTCTTTTGTAAGTTGCTTAATTATGTGACTCACAATTTTTCTACAGGCCATTGGTCATTTATTACTGTGCTGTAGTTTTGTTTTTTTTTTTTTTTTTTTGGTGGTTTGTCTTTTGATTTTACCGTCAAAATTCAGCTATCAAATATTAAGTTTCTATGTGGTCAATTTATCAGTAATCTGCACATAAGAAATTAGTGTTTTGTGTCAAGCTTAATGGCCTTAATCTCACTGAAAACTCAAAAGGTTTTCCATGTTTGATCTGAAACATTAAATTCTTTGATTATTCACTATTTATGCTTAAGGCCTGAGGTAAGAATTCAGCTTTAAAAAGCAACAAATCAATGTCTCGCTGGTTGTTATCAGGCCATTAAACATCCATTTGTGTGGCTCCTCTCAAGTGATTTACCAGCTCCTGTATAATACATTTCCACACATCCACTTTGTGGCTGTCTTGCTTAGCTCCATCCTGGCACCAACATCAGTGCTAATGACTAGAATGTCATCCTGTGAGGGGCCTCCTTCTGCCCGAGCGCCACACATTTTCAGGCTTCCTAACTTTTCTTGCGTTAACTCCTTTAACTTTAAAATCAGTTTTACCCCCTAAATTGATTTTTAAAAATCCTGCTGGATTTTGACTGAGAATCTGTTAGAATTTAGACTATTTTGGTGAGAACTATGTTCTTGTAATACTTTTTCTAAGAATTTACTTAATTTCTCATGTCTTAGTAGTTCATAAGCCTTAACATATTCCTTGTGCTTACTCCTTTTATTTTTGGTTATATTTGCTGTGCCCCCCCAATTTAATGTGGTATCTTCATTCTACTCAATGTATTTCTAGCTTTCTTGAGACTTCTTTGAGCCTATAAATTTAGTAATATGTGGAGATTTTGCTGTTATCTATAGTTTCAAACTTGATACCACTTTTGTTACAAATCTCATTCTGATTCAATCTTTTGAGGTTCACTTTGTGGCTCAGAACATGGCCCATCTTGGTGACTGTTCTATGGGCAAAAGAACGTGTACTTAACTTTCTGTGGTATCAAGTAGATCCTTTTGGTCGATGGGCGTGTCCTACACCCCTGATGACTGTGTGGTTCTATCCATTGTTGAGTGAGGGAAACTGAAGTCTTCAGCTGTTTCATCGCCGTATGTATCTGCGTATTGACTTAGTGCTGTCAGTATAGCTCCACCTCACTTCCCAGTGCATAGATTTCTGTTGTATGACTGTGCCATACCATATAACTGTCTTACTAATGTTTCTAATTTTCCTGCTTTTACAAACAAGGGGACCTGAACGCATATATGTACAGCAGCGACGGCGTCTGTAATCCAATAGTCACTTAGCTCTTTATGTTCCAGATACTGTACAAGTCAAGGTGCCAGAGATAAGCAGACTTCCCTTTCACTTTTTTTTTTCACATGAATACTTGTAAGGGTTTATTATTTTTTCCATTTTTTAAACATATTTTTTTACATCATTTTTCTTTTTTGCACAATGTGTGCATTTTTTTTTTTTTAAGATTTGCTTATTTATTTATTTATACAAGCACTGGGTACAGTCAGAAGCGCAGGAGGGTGAGAGAATTCACCAGAGCCAGAGGGGAGAGCAGAGCAGGCAGAGTGATGAAGTACACTGCTGAGGGGAGCAGCGGGCGGCAGGAGAGGTCTGCGCGCCATGTGGGACCCTCCTGTGGCCGGGGAGCAGCCAGGAAATCGAACCGGCGCTGCAGAGGCTGCGGGCAGCTTCGCAGCCCAGCGCTCAACCGCTGCGCCTCCGGGGAGGCCCAGTTTGTGCATGTTCATCTTGGTTATAGCCCCCATTCAATTCCCACCTCCCTTGTTTCGGTCCTACTCCCTCCCCCTCGCCCCCAGTAGTGCGTCTCTGGTTTATAGTTGCTTGTTGATTTTGATTTTTACTTTATTATAATTAGTCTTTTCCCTGGTCCCTTATTTAGGTTTTCTAAATTTCTGCTATGAGTAAGACAATCTGGTATTTTTCTTTCTTTCAAATTTTACTGAAGATATCTTGAAGCTCCTTTTTCTGGCATGGAAACTTTCAGAATTGTCTTATTGTTGATATGTACCTTATTATGTAATGTCCCAGGTAGGGCTGATGACATGATTTTTTCAGAGTGAATCTGGAGTGGTGCCTGAAAATCTGCATATTAACCCCCCCCATGATTATAAAAATTAACTATTGCTCAAGGTTCTTTTTTTGCAAAGAGCAGAAATTGACTTTGCAGGAGGAATTTGCTGGGTTGTCAGAGCTCTGCTCAGCAGCAGAGCCCAGTGTCCCTTGGAGAAGTCAGCAGGGAGAAGCAGGTGCTCTGTGATCCTAGCTGGTGGCAAAGGGATGTGACCTACACCGGCCCCATTGGGGTCCTGCACCACCCAGGACTTTGAATCTGGTGCAAAGGATATGAATAAGGGCTGGTTTAAATTCATTCAGGTGGTGGCAAAAATTCTGGGGGCCGGTAACAGAAGTGACCGCATCTAGACACCTGGCAGGGTAGGGCGTGTACTGACATGGTTCACCTGCCAGGTCTCTTTCGGTTTTTGCTCCTTTTTCCTTCTCTGAACTTGGTTTCCCAGGCTTCTGCCTATGGTGATACACTCCTATTTGGGTAGAATTTTAACTAATTCTGATTTTTGTAGATGAAACCAGGAAAAAACCCATTACTTGCTAGATAACGTCAGAACAATTAATTTGGTTAGTACTGTGATGAGTGGAATTAGTTAAGGCTCTGGATGGTTCTTGGGCTGCATCTTGCAGGTGAACCTCAGTGGTGCGAACAGCTCTAGGCTGTATCAGGGACCCATTAGTGACTTTGGACAGTAGTTGTTCAGCCTTTGCACTGAACTCCTCTATAAAGTGAGGAGGGTGGGCTCACCAGACTTCAAATTGCCAATATTCTGTGACGTCTTGCTGTTATGAAATCACTTTAGTTAAACCATCCTTGGAGGTTGCTGACAACTACCAAGTGCTTGATGTTTAGCAAACCTGGGGTATTTTCCTGGGGGGACTGACCTGGGTGGTGCAGTGTCTGAACTAGTGTGTATCAGAATGAGAAGGCCCAGGCAGATCCAGCACGTGCTCTCCATATATGTACATACATGTGGAAATTCTTACTGTTGGAAAACGGATGCCTGGCAGTTTTGGTTGTCACACATGAAATATTATGAACAGAGACCCTAAGATTACATCTCTTTCAAAAAATTGATTTCCTGGTTCCTCCTGTGAGAGCTGAAGAGGGAAAACGAAAGTTTGGCAGAGGGAAGACTGCAGGAAATGTGCGGGCTAGAAGCAAAGCAAGCTGAACGAGGGGGAGGGGTGGGAAAAAGGTAGACGTTACCTCACTCCAAGTCTAGTTTGCTCTGGAGAGTTCTGATGGGTGAGTGCAGAGAGATCTTTGCTGCCCAGTGAATTACTGGTCAGTCCCTCTTCACTGGAGGAGCCACAAAAATGCCTACAATGGCTTGGCCCAAGCAAACACTAAGGTGTCGGGAATCCACACCTGACAGAACGACTGCAAAGCCCTTCATGTATTGTTGGTCAGATGCAATCCCTTATTTCCGCTCGACATAAAGGTCAGTTTAGAAATGACTGGGGCGCAATAAACGAGCCACTCCCTGTGCCCTACAGGTTCTGATGAGCACATCCTTCCTGGGCGCCCTGTGTCTTTTCGCATCGGTCTGTGTTGTCTGTGCCATTTCTGCATTTACTCTCCCCATTGAGACCAAAGGACGGGCTCTGCAGGTAGGTGATGAGGGAATCTTGACATGCTCTTCACACGTACCCATGAAACAAGAGTGCTGTATGGAAATCCTTCTGGGACAGACGTTGAAATCCAAGTGTGAGCTGCCAGTATTTAGTGGGTGCCAGTATAAAAACTGGACACCCAGTTTTCCTGCCTGACACTTTTGAGTAGCACTGAAGGTAAGTAACCAGTTACTCCAAACATCTGCTTACTCTGAGAGTTGTTGGCTGAGCAGGTGAATGATGGCTGTGGAGGCGTCTTATCTAGACTCAGTGCTGCTGAGCTGGAGGTGGTGACACTTGCGGTTGTCCCTAGGACCCCAGGGCTCCAACATGGGCCCAGCTTCCCTTCCCCCAGCACTACTAGCTCATAGGAGCAGGGTCAAAAGCTGTGTGTTCTACCAGTTGCTGCCTGATAATATGAACAAAGTAGATTAAAAAAGAGGCCCTTTGTTCTACCACTTTATCCCTATCTCTTTACAGCTGTGGTCGGATGCAGTAGATAGGCAGGGATAGGCAGCGCTGCTAATGTTCTCCAGCCTCAGGAACAAAGCTTCCGGCTGGAATGAGTGGGCGCTGTGGGCGCAGGTGCATGCAGGGAGGGAGTGCAGGTGGGGCTAGGTATGGCGAGCGCAGCTGCTGGGGTCCTTCTATGGCTAAATGTGACTCGTGAGTCCCATAGGAATTTAAGTATTTGCACAGGTGTATGTTGTCTCTGGGAGCAGATGTAAGGAAGGCACTGTTAGGTAAAGGAAAAACACAAAATGCTTACACCAGTCTCAATTTTTGCTACCGTAGCTTGTTTATCCTTGAGGTAATACAAAGATTAAACTTAGGGCTTTGTTAGTTTCTCTCCTTGGAAAGGTGTCCTATTTATTGAATGCTCAAAGCCAGAATCTAAATGATTCTTAATTCCTTTAATTCACAAATGATAGGGTTATCATTACACACTTCACACAAATGAAGAAACTAAGACAAAGAAGTCTGATAACTTATAAAAAGGAACACACTAGAATCTGGAATTTAATCCAGATTGCAACATTAAATGACAATCTTACGCTAATTTAAAAAAAAAAATCAGAATAGTAATGATTCGTACAGAAGCAAGCCTGGGTCACCATCTGATGTGTTTTATGGGTTTCTGACTCAAGTCACACCCTCTTGTAAAGGACCATTCCCTCTGCTGGTGAGAATCCTGCTTACAAGCTCTTCACTGTCTCCTTCCGCGTGCAGCTGCATGGGCACACAGCCTTTGACGACAGGCTCCTCAGTGGGCTCCTGCATTTCTGTGGGCAACTCTTAAAGGGTGTGTGTTACCTTGCAGTGCTGGGAACTTGCCATAAGAAACGACCTAGTGATGAACACAACAGAGCTTCTAGAGAACTATTTAAAAGAACATATCTAAAAACTAATTTTCTTCCAACAACAAAGACAGAATCCTGATTATCTGACTGCTCAATAGTTTAATAGTAGTAACTCCACTACAGGATTACTTAAATGAACTCTAGCCAGAGAAACAATTTTTAAGATCTTGAAAGGTGTTATTTATAATAATTTTTCTGAATGATGTATTACATTAGGTTACCATTGTGTGTTCAGATATACAGAGGTAAATGCTTATTAAAAACCTTTTACCAGTTTCTAGAGCCAGTCAGCTGAAGACTTTTTTATAAAAAGTGTATTATCAGAGATGACTTTCTTTTAAATTACTGACCTATTAAATTTCCTCTTCTAGCAAATTAAATGAAGACCTGGAAGACCTATGTCCACCAGAGAACTACAGGACATTTTTTAAAACCTGGTTTTATTTCTGTACATTACTGGTATTTTAAGAAACTGATTATGCAAGACATACGAATAAGGTGGGGTTATCTGTATATTACTTTTTCCTGGGAGACAATAGGTAAAGAACCACACAAAATAGATTGATTAGAAAGGTCTGTCTGGGAAATGGCTTCCTTCCTTGACATTAAACCCATTAGCCTTTCTATCAGTAATAAATCTCAGACAAAAGACACAGATTTGATAGTTTCCCATGAGGTTAGTAGTAAAAGTTGAATTCAATTTTTTTGTGTGTGGGACCCTCGCTGGTGGCCGGGGAATGAACCGGCGCTGCAGAGGCTGCAGGCAACCTCGCAGCCCAGCGCTCAACCGCTGCGCCACCAGGGGAGGCCCTGAATTCAAATTTTATAGAACTTAGGTATCACCCTAAGCCTTTCAAAGCAAATAGTCACTAAGTTCATTGTCACTTAAATTGACTCCTATACTTTAGTTGTAAAATAATACTTAGTAGGTCTTTTCCTGGTAACTATTTTTCTTCTGACACTGTCTCTTCATTCTGATTTAATTTTATGGGGGAAAAATCTGATTCCCATGTGATAAAAAAGTGCAGTTACACAGATCTTCTCATATGCAGGTATGCTGTTCAAAGTATGCCCCCTAAGGTTTTTACATTTATATTTAGTCTTTTACTGCTGTTTAAGTGTATTATAGTCACCTCTTAAAATGGGGACCCTAAGGCTGGCTACTCACTCCTCCCACCCCATTTTGCAGTGGAAAAAACTCACAACCACAGTAAGTCCTCTAACAAGCCATGCATATGAGAAGGTTCACACCCCGCCTCAATAGGGGTGCAAGGCATTCCTATCTGAACCAGACACTCGGTATCCTCACATTTTTTCCTCTATAAGCCTTTAAAAACATTCTTAGAACTCAGGTGGCATGAAAGCAGACCACAGGTTGAATTTGGTCACTACGCCAGTGTTGTTGAAATAAATTTCTAGGGTCAAGCTAGAATCACTGCTGTCCAGGGTGGCACAGTAACTTTCTGTTCCAGTCAACACTCTGCTTGACTAGTGTAGCCAACCCCCAAGCTACCTCTGCGAACTAATTTCCTTGTTCCTTAATCCTAAAGCTTTTTTGTCTTCAGCCCCATTTTGCAGTTCTCTGGACCATTAGGAAAAGAGAGAGACTGCCCGTTTCGGGAAGTGTTAAATAAAGCCTAGGGAGGCTCTGAAGCTCACGTCTTAATGGCCTGCAGGACAAGATACACCTGCTGAACCCTCTGCGTTCACTGTTCTTGTTTGAATGAAGGGCCATGGGTAAGTCATCCTCATTTGAGCTCTGCTCCCTTGTGTGCAGCTCTATGATCCAAACCAACTTGACTTTAAAACAATGGTTCCCAGAAAGGTTCCAGGACAGTAATACTGGTAGTTCCCATTAGGAGACTCATAAAGCCACATAAATTTGGACCCTTTCAACCAATGGCACAACTAATTCTTAAGTAGATACAAGCCAGGTTATGAAGTCATTAGAGCATCTGCCACGATAAAGAAAGCTGCTCATGAAAGGAGTAACAGATTGGGAGAACCCAGACGGTGCTAAAGAAATGGACGTTTGAAATAACCATTCCACCTTAGCACGCCTGTTTATGGCTACAAAAATGAAAAAAAGACAACCTTGAATGAGAAGGTTGGGGAATGTTCCAACTGGACAAGCTTGGCCATGTAAGTACACCCGAAAGGGTTCCCAAACCAGCCAGAATGGAGCACCCATTTTAACTTGTGGAGAAACCTCTGAAAGACTTCGTAATCCCAAAATAGCTTCATTGAAAGATTCAATAACACAAAAAGATTTAACAGGTACCTAGTCTTTGCATCTCTGTAGGGCATTCGTGAGCATGAAAAAAGTGGAATACCTACATTTTTTAATGTCAATGACTCACTATTTCTACCTATACAAACTAAATTCAAACTTACATTATTGAAATAGGTATCTCAGTAAATCTGTTGAACTGCTAGCCATGTTTAAATAATCTATCTAATTAACTGTTGTCAAGAATTTTTCATTTACCAGTTGGGCAACCACAAAGGGACCCAGAAGGGGCAGGAGGACATGAGGTCCTAGTTAGCTGGGGGCCCTTTGAAAGCCCATCTTCCCGCACTCAAGTGAGAGTGAGTCCTTCCTGGATCTCAGACCCGATGGTCCTTGAGAAGATTAAATTACTGTTTCAGGTTATGGAATTCTAGACTAATATTCAGGTTAAAAGAGTAAATTTTACAGCTCAAATTGCAATTTTGCTCAGGCAGACACTATTCCTGTAAGTGGTTCACTTAATAGTAGGATATCAATTGAATATATTTACACAAGCAATCAGGAAAAGTCAGCTCAAGGAAAATAAAGTAGGTGGAATGACCAAGACATGCAAAACCAAAGAAACTACAGACAGCTTGGCTATCTGAGTAAGGTAGAACCTTGCTGTTGCTGGCTTCTCAGATCTCTTTCCTAACTGGTCCAGATGAATGTTCCTACAAGGAAAGCTAAAGGGGGCTTCTCTTAGTCCTCTTCTCTTGAAAAGTGACATCTGGCTTCCTTCTTTTGGCCTCCCTCTTTCAATGTCTCGTGTGTCATGCTCTGTTCGTGTTTTGTATGAAGATTTCTAATTCAAGGCTACAAAATGAACTCCAGCCTTCAGGTACTGGTCTAAACTATTTAATGGGTAGGGCAGGAAATTTGAGTCCCAGGTCTTGCCATTTACCCCCATACATTTTTCCAGTCTTGAGGACTGGGAACTGCCATTTTTAGATTTTGTCTTTTAAGAAGATGCACTGAATTAATGGAAATCCTGGAAGTCAAAAAGTCTTCCATGTGAAGTTTAAGTTGGAATAGATTTAGAAGACCCATCGGGTTAATTAAATAATGGGTTAAAGTAAGGATTACTTCATGCAAAATAATCTTACCAGGTATACTGATTGGACCAGGGACTCCACCCTGTACATAAAACTGTAAATGGTAATTCCACTTTAAATTTATCATTCCCCAAATCTCTTATGGAAAATCTAAGGTATTGCTAAGTTTATTGGGAATTCATAGAAAGCCTAAATTATTCCAAATGGAATTATTTTCAGCTCCTGATTAATGCAGGGGAACTAAAAAAAACTAATGTCTATGAGTAAAATATGTCACCTAGAAAAACTGAAGCGCGTATTTTAGAAACTATGAATACATAAAAATTAAGGTTATGAGTTCTAAGGAATGTATGAAATTAAAGCTAATGGGAATAAGGATGTAAAAACAGGGACATGTTTTGACTGAGCACCTAAGAAAGATTTGGTGTGAAGGTAAAATAGGTTAGTTATGAATATGATGTAAGAAATGGAAAAGCAAAAAAAGGTTTGAGAGAGGAAAGAAATTTTACGTGGCCAAATGTGTTATAAAGGTTTTTTAAAATTAAGCTTTAATACCAACTGTTTGAGGGATAAAATAAACTGATTAGCTTTTAATAACGAATATTGTTTAAATAACCTGAAGACCTGATGCTCTTCTACCCTTAGGCTTAAGTAGCTAGGAAAAATCTAGTCCTGTCCAAGTATAGTTGAACTTAGACATTTTGCTCTAAAAGTTATTGTCACTCTGGCTAACTTTGTTTTATAACAATGTGTTTTAAATCTGTGACAAACTTCCCTGGAAATAAAAAATCCAAGATAATGTCTGATTAATTAAAAAATATATGGGAGGTCTTAAAAGGACTCCCACGATAACCCATAAAATTCTCTAAATATTAAAGCAGGCCAATTTAACTGGTCACTGAAGTTCCATGGGAAGCACTGTCGAATTTTAACAGTGTAATCTACACGGGGAGGTTCCATGTTCTCTGTTCCACCCAATGAAGGGTGGAGCTGAGCATGGAGAAGCTAAAAAGGACTGGAGAGAGGAGACTGAGCTTGCTGTCCTAACTGTATCAAGAAGACATGTGGAGCAGAGGCACAAGAGAACAGCCATGCTTGCCTCTCAGGCTTGGATTTGACAATGGGAAACATTTGAAAGCGACATTGGTGAGAGGTCTGGGGAGAGGCTGATAATGGCAGACTTTATTTTGACTGGCACTTTGATTTTGCTCCTTTCATTCCCCTTCTGTCCTTTTCCTATGGTTCCCCACCAGAAGGTGCCTTAATCCTAAGCTTTTGGGCCTCAGCCTCTTTGGCTGGATGTTTGCCTATAGAGGATAGGTAACTCTGGGTGTTTTATTGGGAAACTTTTCTCTCTATTGCATGCTAATTCTATTAAAGTCCTTGAACACTAAGAGTATGTTTTGTCTTTATGCGGTGGATAGCAGTACCTATTTAAAGCATACAAGGTTTGAGGGGGTCCCATGATGTCCCTCATCTGCCCACTGACAATGTTAATTATATTCAACTTTTATAGTATAGATGTGTTCATATTAAAGTCTACTGTTTGCAATATTACTGGCTAATTCTGGTTTTTCTAAAATACTGTATTTTAGAAAAATGGTAAGTTAAGAAACTCATCAATTGCTTTATAATCAAATCTTAATTGTTTAATCATTTGCCAGTTTTAGAAGTCATAGGAAAAGGACTTATAAAATTTTAAGTGCAGTTTTTCTCAATTCTAGAGTACTTTTAAGTTACTTTTTTCTAGAAAACTTGCTGAGCTATGATCTGCAGCAATGGTAAAATTTTTGTGGGTACAACTGAAACATTTGCTTCCTCTCAATCCCTGACACCCCCAAATGTGAACTTTTTACCAAGTATTAGTGTTTCTCAATAAAATATAGCAAGACTCCTTTTCTCCCTAATAGACTATTGGCAACATGGGTGTATTGTCAAAGATTTGACCAGAATGTTATATAGTTCAGACTGATTTTAGGGTTCCAGTAAAAGGTACCCCTTGGCAGATCCAGAAATCCCAGGACATTTTCAAACCTCACAATGAGAAGAACTTACCCCAAACCACAGGTATGGCAGTCAAAGTCTAATGATGAAACCATGGTGTGGTCTTGAGTTGGGGCCATGAAGAGCTCAACTGAAGATTCCTTATGAAAGTTCCAGCAAAATAAGTATGGATTTATTTTGTTCCTATTATATTTATGGACAACAAATCAAAAAACCTGTTAATTTTCAAACAAGTTTACTATATTTGGAATTGAGTGAAGGTGGAGAAATGTTTTAGTAACAGCTTTTTTGAATATCAGATTCTGTCCTCTTATAATCACTGAGTTTTTTTTAACCAGTGAACTGGATCCTAAATTATCCTACCTGGCTATGATGTTCCAAGCTCATGTTTCCAATTTGTCTCCCAATCTTTTTCACTTAAAAAGCACCAAATGACTGAGCCTGCTGTCCTAACTACATCAAATTGCAAAGCACTGTGTGACGCCCATCTGAAGATACTTCATTCCTTACAGGGCTTGGATTTACTTCTGTCTTTAACCTTTGTTTCTTTAGAAATGTCTTTCTTGCCTGAAATTGAATAGAATTGTTTAAATTGGATTCTGAACTGTCACTGGTACAGTGGGTAAGATCACTTTAAGGGACAAAATATTAATTTTTAAAACCTTCCACTAAAATGTTTCCATGGCCTCAGAAGGGCAACAAGAGGTTCAGATCCTGTAAGAAAGGTAAATATGATCTGACATACCTCTTTAAAATCCTAATGTTGGGCAGGATGCAATATTGGTCAAAAATGTAACAAAGTACTTCTAACCAAAAAGGGGGACTAGAAACATCAGAACATTTTTGGGAGACCCTACACCTGATCTAGCAGGTTGAGGTTAAACAGTATTTAATTTAAGAATATTTTTGTCCTTCAAGCAGATAAAAGCTTTGTTTCATGAACCACCTGCTGCCTGAAGGTCAAGTTAGTCTTTTCAGATTAAAAAAAGATCTAATGATGGGTACCCAGCCTTTACATCTCTGCAATGCATTCATTAGCAAGAGGACCAAATTCAATCTACAGAATGCCAGTGTAACATGGTTCACAATTGTTTACTATGTTTCCACTAGGTATTGAGTGGAAGAATTAATAATTCTAAAACAAAATTATAAGGGCTAAGAGGGAAATTTCTTTGCAAGGAAAAGAAAATGTTTTTGTTAAGGGAAAAAGCAATTTTGTTCTAAAGTAACTTTCAGAATGAGAAGGAAAAATCCAGTTAAAACCTGAATATTAAAAACTTGTAGAGGTTCGTGAAAAGGAATGTTACATGTTGTCAAGATTGGAGTGAACTGTAAGTTATAAAAGTGAATAGGAAAATGTGTAGGATTGCCATTAGATTTTCTGTTAAAAGGAGAATGTTTCCTTAGATTACTGACCTGTTCTTAATATTACTTTTTAAAGCAACTACACAGAACTTTGTGTATTTGAAGTCAGCTTGGTTCAATGGATCTTTTTGACACTTTCCAAAAATCAAATCTTGATCCTGGAATATCTCAAAAGATTTAGATTACCTGAAGTTAAGTTTTCCAGAAATTGGCATGTTCTAGTATATTATCAGTCATACTATAATAGACTCATTAGATCTTTAATCATGGATATTTTAAAGCCTCAGTCAGTTATGGTTTTACTTTTGCAAAAGTGTCATGGAAAGGACCCTGCTAGGTACTCGACCACTGGCACTGCTTCCAAAGGTCAATGTGTAAACCTAGGGAGCATAACTCATAATTGAACTCTTTTTTTGTTGACTGTGACAACGCCAGAGACCTCAAAATCAAATTAGGAAGAGAAATAGCAAACTGCAAGATGGACTGCTTTATTCCTAGACATCAGGTCAGGCAAGATAGCCTCCATTTCTCTCCCACCCTGAATCTCCTTTTCCTAACATTTTGTCCCCCTTTTGGCCTTGTCCTGGTGTAGAAAAATGCCACTGTTCACTTATTTTACACTATTACAAAGGAAAGTCATCTAACCTTCATTGACTGTTGGATTTGCTGCACCACAGGTGAGTGATCCTATGGTTATTTTCCTCCCAGATTTCCAATGCCTCAGTTTCTCTATAACAGGTTTGCAGGCTAAATACTCCTGGGGAAGTAAAAACAGTTTCACAAAATATGTAAGCAAGTCAAATGACTTAAAGAATTATTTCTTTTTCTTTTTTTTTAGTAGTTGGTTGGGATATGGAAACCCTCAATCAGGAGTACTCACCAAACCGTGGCATTATTTTGTTGCTAATTAAGCCTGAAATGCACATGGGCAGCCATTGACCAGCTGTTGGAAAGACAAGAGAACACAAAACACGTAGCCAATTTTAAGAACAGGAACCTGATATATACACTAACAGTATTTTTGAGCCTCAGACCAAACCTCTTGAATGGCCAAAGGATGATCAGAGAGAGTAGTACTACTGAAATGGAACTGTCCCAGATGTCCCATCAGCAAAATGAAACTTTTTGTGTCCCAGTAAATACTCGGCATGGCGACAAACACATTATATCTAGTAATCCCCAAATGCCAAGCTGACTCTTGTTCCTTACCTGTAAAAACTTCCTGTCTTCCAGACACTTGGGATTAGAAAATATGAAGTGTTAAATTGTCTATAATCATTTTTAGCAGTGTAAATCCAGCCTAGAATTACCAAAGTTTAGCCCAAAGTATTTTTGACACAAAGATTTATTATAATCATAAATGTAGGGCTAAAGAACCCACCACAAATTGTAATTGAAAGTGGCAATTTATAATTAAAACCAAAGGGTGCAGGCCAATAATACTGGCCTGACACTCCCAATACAGAAAAGCTGGAGACTTAACACCTTAAAGAGGAAGCTACCACCTGAAGCCGAGGCTAAGACATTCAAATCATCTGCCTTATACCCCTCCGGCTCCCAAAACCCAGGATAAAAAATGAGCACTGTCATTAATCACAGTTGGAGGATGCATTAGCAACAGGACACAACACCCCAGTATAAGGTTCTGTATTGAAAGAAAAGAGCAGCTTCCAGGTTGGACCCATCAAATACAACAGGGCAGCTAGTGCTCAAACCTGCTCGTTACTCTTCAGCCTCCGAAACCACCTGCCTTCCACACCTAGAGGTGGACAACAGGAGACAACTTGGATGCCCCCCGCCCCTAACACTCTGATTCAGAGCACACGGGGAACTTAAATGCTGTATGTTCACTGGAGGGGATCCTGGGGTGTCCTACTGCCCCCAGTTTCTTTTTACCTATTATCCCTCATCAATACCATTTCTCTGATTACTTCAACAAATACAAAGGCAGCAGTCTCAGAGTCTATCCCTATTATAAGCCATAAATACGAAACACGGTGAGACAGAAAAACATACCATAAATGCTAGCGCCAAAACCAAAAACTGGCAGAACTGTGGGATATGGCTGAAGGAGTTCAATGTAACAGTTACAATGTTCCTCAAACTAAAAAACAAAAACAGTGGATGATATAAAACAGTAACAGAATAAAGATCATGAAAATCTGAAGCACTTAGAAGTAATGGATCTAAAAAATATAAGCAAATAAAATATATCTGAGGGCCTCAATAGCAGACAAATGCAAGAAACGGAGAATTAATGAGTCTGAAAACCTGATGTTGGAGAACACAGAACACAACATTGAGAAAAAAGAAATGTAAACAAAACAAAAAACCAAGATGGCACCAAATGGCAATCAACACATATCTCAACAATAACCTTAAAGTAAAAGGCCTCAATTCACCAGTCAAAAGGTACAGAGTGACAACAAACCTATCTTGCCAACAAAGATAAACATCGATTTAAAGATTGGAATACAGTTATGTAAGTAAATGGCAATCCAAAAAAAAAAAAAAAATCAGGAACAGCTGTATCAGATAAAACACTTTCAATTAAAAAAAAGTAATATGAGATAGACACAGACAATATATTATGATTAAGGGCCTAACAGAACAAGAATAATAATACACACACGTACGCACCAAATGCTGGGACACCAAGATACATACCATGCCACAATTAGAGAGCAAAATTGTAACTACAGTTAATACTAGGGCATTTTAACATTCCACTTGCAACTATGGATGGAAGAAGACAGAGTAAATGAGGAACTAGAGCAAATACGCTTAACAGCTGTCTACACAGCACTTGTATAACTGAGAAACACTTGGATATATTTTCCAAGTGCACATGGAACATTTTCAAGAAAAGACCATTATGTTGTGACAGACATCAATTGTCAAATAAGACTTCAAATGCCGCAAGATTGAAATTATGCCAATACTCTCTCAACATAATGCCATAAAAGCTAGAAATCAAAACTATGTGATGGGCCTCCCCTGGTGGTGCAGGCAGTTGCACGCATGCTGTGAAGCTGTCCACAGCCTCTTCGATCACGGCCAGCTGGCAAGGGTCCCACATAGCACAGTAGACCTCTCCTGTCTCGCCCGCTGCTCCCCTCAGCAGTGTATTTCATCAGTCTGCCTGTTGTGTTCCCTGCTCTGTCTCTGGTGAATCCTCTCACCCT